ATTGATCTAATAGTTGGAAACGAGTTTGCCAGTTTATACCATATATTGACTATCTAGAACGATTTTCAAGCAGTGAGTTCAACCGTTTTTTTGTCAATTTTGCCGGAATTTCACCGGTTTAAGAGCGGTTTATAACTGGTCGGTTTTTCGGCCGGACCGGACCGTTTTAGAAATTTCTGTCCGGTTCCAGCCCTGATATCAATTAGTAAAAGATTGTTTAAATATGAAAAAATTTTTTTCTTTTTAAATTTGTTTTTTTTTATATTTTTATAAACAAGTCGAATAATATTTCGTGTTAATAATGGTTTTAATTTATTTAGTTCTCATTTGATTATAATAGAAAATGATAATGAAAATATATTTGAATCAATTTTTAATCTTATGATAATTCTTTATCAAGATGATAGTATTAAACAAGAAAATTAAAAAAATCAATCAAAAATTTTATTTTTATTTTAAATAAATATATTAAACAATATTTAGAAAGTAAAATTTTTAATCATTATTTAACTAAAAAATTTTTCAAAATAAAATTATTTCACTTTCTTATTGAAATTTCATTAAGAAAAAATCAATTACGATTAATTTTTTTGCAAAAAATTATATAGAATAATTTTATTCAACATTTAATAAATATAATTAATGAAAAAAAAATCTAATCGTATATATGCTGCAAAATTATTAAGTTTTTTTAACTATTGAATCAAAATGTAAGACTTTAAAAAAGATTATTTTATTTGAAATTTTATTTAAAAAAAAATATTTTTAGAATTAAACAACATTTTAATAGCAAAGATGAATTAATAAAATTTATTAGAATTTTGGTAAGACATTAATAAAGATGTGAGTGAAAAAAATAACAAACATTTACATTAACAAGTGTGATATAGAGTGGCTTATTGAAATTTTTTTCATATAATCAGCGGCTCTGTATTATGACAATTTGCCAGTGTATCAAATGTAACTTTTATGTAATATTCAAATTAAGTTAAAAAATTCTTTTTCCGTTATGTCTAGTATATATTTATATATATATCTACGTTTTTCGTCGTTATTGTTGTTCAGTTGTTATCTCAAATACACTAGACCTGTTTCTTTCAATACTTTTTTCATAAAAGTGACACTAATGAGAGAAGCTTTTCAACTATAAAATTGTTTTCTCAACGAAACCTTCAGGGTTAAAGGCTATCGACTATACTGATTCTAAATACGAGTATGAGGAATATTCTTAGGCTTCTATAGTATGATTTTCTATAAAACCAGTTTTTCAGAATATTAAGTACTTTATCGAATGCTGTTTTTGATCTGCACAGATTATCGAGTAAATCAAATTATCTATAAAACAATAACTGTTTCTATTTCAAATTGATTTTGTCTAAGAAAGAGAAATTTTTCAATCCACAAAATGGATATGTCGTAACGAAGTTATAACTTCGATAAAGTAAGGTTAAAGAAGTTGTTTGGATGAAATAAAATAGATAAAACATTGATTATTTCCATAATATTATTAAAATCGTTAACAATAGATCATTTTTCTATTAACAACAAACATTTCTTTTGATAAAAAAAATTCAAGAATAGAAGTATGAACTGATAGTCACTGTATAGAAAATAGCTGATTTAAATAAAATACTAATCACGTATAGATCAGTTATATCGAACTAATTATATGATTAATAATCTTTACAATCAGAACTATTCAATAATTGGATTATTATAAATTGATCAATTTTAATAAAAGTACAAGTAAATGCAAACGCAAAGTAGATGCCATATTTGCCCATAATCTCAATGTGAACTTCTTCTCAATTCACAACCAATGCTGAAACCGTGTATAAATTGATGGGTTTATCTACATGGTCTCCTGGTAGTAGTGAGATAGCATAAATGTTTTAAGAACAACATTCATATATCCTCATTAGTAACAACTAAAAGATCAGTTTGAATAAAATGTTTTTCCATAGAACTTATAGCATTATTGATATCATAGATTGGAAAGATAAAGTTAATATATCTGATCAACAAATAAGTAATATTTTACTTAAATCAGTTATTTTCTATACATTGACTATCAGTTTATACTTCTATTCTTAATTATGATTAATTAATATTTATGATTACCTTTTCTACGATTTACCTCTTGTTCTGAACGAAAACAACAAAAAAAAAAAAAAGATATGAAAAGTGTTTGTTGTTAGTAGAAAAATGATCTGTTGTTAAAACGAGTTTAATAATATTATGGAAATACTCAACATTTTTCCTATTTTATTGCATCCAAACAATTGCTATAACCTCACTTTATCGAAGTTCTAACTTCGATACGACAGATACACGCTACAACATTTTTGTATAAAATTACAAAGTTTATTGTATTTTTTAGGGAACCATTTTTGAAAAAAACAGAAAAAAAAATATTGATTTCTAGACAATTTAATAAATATTTAGCATTTTTGGAAAACTGATTCTCTAGAAAATCGCACTATGAAAGCCTAAAGGCATTTCTCATACTCATATTTGGAATCAGTATAGTCAGCAACGTTTAATTCCGTAGGTTCCTTTGAAAAACCAATTTGACAGTTAGGAAGGTTTCCTTGTAAGAAATGATAATTGGCAACGAGAATTCGAACTTTCGTAAACGTCCATGGCTACTGAACATGTTTCCGTTGTTCAAACGACATATGCAGCTGCAAATCATATTTACTAATTTGATCCTACAGTTTATGATTTGGAGGTTCTATTCGATATATATCTTAACATAGAGAGTATCACAAATGAGACAAAGAAAGGGAGCTTGCTCATTACTACACTTGGGTTGTAGACATTCAAAACACTTATTTCTATATGCAAACTAAACAAGTCGAATTCATACGAAAACTTTGTTCTAATTAGGCAAAAATCATCTTACCATAAACCGAAAGAATTAAATTCTTTTTGAAAATGTCAAGTTTCATAAGCCACTATATCACAACGAGTTTCTTTGTATAAAAATTTTCTTTTGTGTATATTGTAGAAATCATCATCGATTGATGAAGAAACTCGAACAATAATCTTATCTTTATTAACAAATCTTTGTTCAGAAAAACATATAAGACTTTGTACTGTTAATCAAACAGAACTTTTTCAAATATTAATTGAATATTTAGGATATTTTGATACTGAATATGAATTAAATTTATTAGGATTATTAATTAATTTAACCAATGAACAAAGTTCAACTCTAGAAGGATTATAAAAACATGTTCGAAAGTTAAAAAAATTTCGTTCTTTTTTGATAATTGAAAAGTTTTTTCTTCTGTTTTTTTTTTAGTTATGTGAAAAATTTATAACTAAATTAAAAAGTTCTTTATATCATCAACGTATATTTATATTATTAGGAAATATTTCTATGCATTAGGAATAAGTTATTGATATTCTTATTGAGTATAAAATTATTTCTTTAATTAGTCAAAGATAACAACAAGTTTAATTATTAATTAATTAATAGAATTATATATTTGAATGTATTTTATTTTTTTTCGGATGTTAATGAAGAAAAGATTCAAGCTGCTGTTAGACTTTCAGCATAATGTATACAATCAAATGTATAAGAACAACAAACTGTTGTGAATGATACTAAACGTAAAAATTTTGATTTCAAAAAACGAAATAAAATCGTGTAAATATTGAATTATAAAGAAATTTTTTTTCGTTTAATTTTATCTGTTCTCTATGAACAATTAATAAAAAGTCAAAATTCTTTCCTTATTGGTAATAGTTCATTAGTATTTGCAAATTTTGTAATTGATCCAACATCATGAATATTTTTTGCGAAATAATCTAAGAATAGAAAAAACAATTTGCTAAATGTTAAAATTAGTTAAAAATATTTTAAAAATAGAAAATAATTTAATCTATTATTTCTTTTTTTGAATGTTTAGTTTTCTACAAGAATTTCGAAAACAACATGATACTGAAATTCTTCATTCAGCTCTTAAAGAAGTTGAATAATAATTAAAGCTTGTTTTTAAATAAAAAGAATAAACATTGTTAGTCATTTTATTTTCTTGTAGAACGATTTTCAATTTTCGTTATCAATAAAAAGAAAAGGAAAAAATATGCATCTTATTATACTGAAAAAATTTGTTCTTATCAAATCTCTTTAATTCAACAGAAATACAATTATTCAAAGAAGATTTAAACGGAATGGTACTTCCTTCGAAGGTTATGATCATTTTATTAATTTTTTTTTCATCTATGGTAAGATAGTTACAAAAAGATTTTCAGTGAGAACGAATATTTCATTTCGAAAATAATAAATATCTAAAAATAACTCGATTTCTCTGAAATATCTACGAAATGCAAATATTTATAGAAAATTCGTTATCTCGATAAACCATTATCGGTTTTTATTAAAAATTTTAAACGTATACTGAGAATGATGAGAGTTACACATGAACAAAATTCCATTATTTTTGTACACATCGTGACATAGATTGAATAATTAGTATAATAATCTTTCTTCATCAGTAAAGATAATATTAAATACTTTTAACTTAAAATAAATGAATAGTAACGAATTCTTAATAAGATACATTAGATCATGTATAAGTTTTTAGATAATATATTTACATAAGACGAATATTAAACATTTTTTTATTATAAACTATTTTCTTTTTGTTATATATTTTTATTTTGAAATAACAAAAACAATTATTTATCTATAATTATTTGATGATCATTGATTAATCCAATTGAATAAATTTTCAATATATTTTTTTAAAATTATCTTCAGTTTCTTTTGTTATTTCATAAACAATATTTTCATCAAACGATTCTCGTGCTTCATCAAGACATATTTGACAAAATTTCTGATTGTATATTTTGTTCAATTTATTTTTCATCTGAATAATTTCGTTGTTTTGTTTTAATCGATTATATAATTTATCATTACTACAACGAATAACAAATACATCATGAATATAATCACCAATCTAGTACGATTTCTGTACTATAATAATCAATAATTTATCCAGATGGTAGTGAAGATTTTTGAAAATATTTATTATCAAGATAATCATCTAGAGCATCATCATCTGATATTTGACATTTATTTTCTTCATCATACTCAAGAAGAAATTTTTCTTTTTTAACTAAATCATTAACATTAATAAAATGTTAATGATTTATTTTTTGAACATAATTCTTAAGAAAGATGAGTTTTACCAACACTTAAAAATAGAAAATTGTTATGATGAAAAATAAGAAAAGAAATATAAGATAATATACTAGGTGTAGCACAAATGACAATATTTGGAAGTTGTTTGGTTTTGTATTCAACTATAAGAAATACTGAAAATTTTATGTACGGTTTTTCTTTTTTTAATAGAAAATTTTCAATATGTAACGAAAGCTTATATACGAATCCTATCACCAATTGCAATGAAAAAGCAACAATGACGTTTATAATCATTCTAACATTATTTCATCTCTTACTATCAAAGATCAAATTAATAATGGTGATTAGTTAATAGAGTACAGTTATTCGAGAGTTCATGAAAATCTATCAAATTCAAGTGTCAGAAAACGTAGACTGATCAATTTGATTAACTTGAGAATCCTTAATTGATTATCTGAGAATTTTAAATGGCGAAAATGGGTATGGATAGATGTATCGAAAAAGACTCTTAGCTATACTCAGCCAATCACAAAAACCATCATATGTACATATATTTACCCTTTTCCACTCTCATTTTCTTGTTTCTTTTAAAAAGTCATCAAATATTGTTGTTTCATAGGTAACTGTGAATTCTGTTTCGTGTTGTAAGTAAACTTTTCTCAATAGTTTTTTTTTATGTTTACAAAAGAATTAAACCATACATAGAGCATACATAGAGTTCACTTTGATGTTAAAACATAGCAGTAGATATACTGAGAACAATCAATCATTTGAAACTCGTATATTATAACATCATCTTGAGGTGTATGTGTATAGATTAACAAGGAAAACTACACTCACATTCATATCCCACTCGTTCGAAAAGTACAAGTAAACATTTTAACAAATTAATAGGCAATAGCTCGAAACTCAAATAAAAATATAGATAGAATGTTCTGAATATCCTAATATATAAGAAGTTTTCAATATTTTCATTTTTGTAAACAAATACTAGATGAACAATACCTATTCAATTTTCTCTTGTCCGCTAAAAGATATTGTTTGATTTTAATAACTTTCAAAAGATTTTTATTTATGACGTTTGGAATTGATATTAAATCTTACATAAAACATTCTCTTGATGAATTCTAATTCTATTAATAAAAACGTAACTCTAAGTTTTTTATTCGAAGCTTTGATTACACCAAAGCATAAATTGAAGAATGTAGATAATAAAGAATTAAGATTCAAATGTAATTTAAGTATTGACATTTTATAAAAGTAATACTACTTTTTCCTACCTATTTTATTTTTCTATTTATTGAAACGTTTTAAATAGAAATGAAGTAAACATAGGAACCACTCTCATTTTGTCAGTGAAAGAATGAAAGTTGTTTTTTTCCTTCATGTCGACCTTCGATAACATTCTTTACATGGTCGATCGAAAAAGAAATTCAATTTTAATAGACAGCTTATTTCTTTTTTTTTAATATTACTAGAAAACTAAAACAAAATAGAAATCTTTTGAGTTTCTTGCTTTTTTTTCATTTGGAATTTTATGATATGACTTTTCTATTCGGGATGTACTATTATTTTTATGTATAGAACATGTGAAAGAGTCACTTCAAAATTATTTTGTCATTGAATTCGATTAGATATTTGCTCATGATTCACAAAGTTTGAAAAATTCATGTTAATTTTTCTGTTTTCAATTAATTAACATCATCTCATTTCAAAAGATAAGATATTTTTCACTTTTTCAAGCAAAAGTTCGATAAAACTATTCATCCTCAATTGAGGTTTACCATTTTTTTGTGTATATTCTCTAGACAAGAATACTTAGATTCATCGTTCTCGCAATCTCATTCTATGATTGATGATTGAAGCCTGGCTATTTACGTCTCTTTTTTTCTATTTTCTTGACTCAGAAATTTTTTTCTTGTTGATGTTTAAAAGAACGGGTGATTCATCAATCATCAAAGTGACTGCGAGCTCGAGTAGAGTAAATATGACTATGCATATTTTCTCTGCAATCAGCAATTTAAGCAAGACAAGCACAATTAATGTTGTCGATTCTAGGGTAACCACACGTGGTTAGAGTATTAATATTTAAAAGTAAGATTTTTTTCTTCTTAACTAATCTTTTTTTTCAGTCGACTGAAACCTTTTAAAATAAAAGTAAAGTAAACACAACAATCAATCTTATTTCTTCAGTGAAAGAATAGTTCATTCTCAATTTCATTGTAACTTTGTACAGAATTTTTCACACATAGAGCAGAAGAAGAAATTCTTTAACGTAGAATGCTTGTCTTTGTTTTCCAAATGTTATTAGGATACATAAAAGTGAAATTTTCGTTTTATAATCACTTTTTTTCTTTCGAATTTACTGATATAATTGTTTCAGTCAAAAAATATTTTTGAATTTGCTCGTAGAATATTAAAAAGAAAGAGATTCGCATTTACATCTTCGTTGAGTTTGCTCTGAAAATTCTTTCCAATTCGTAGACTTTGAAGAGTTCATTTCAAAGTCATTGGTCTTCTATTAAAGACATTATTTACATTGTTTTTAAAAAGTAGACCTATTAGAATAAGTTTGTGAACTATGAAGAAAAAAAAAACAACCAGAATTTTTTTTATTATGTCTTATAATGCCCTAGGACCCTGACAGTCCTGAAGGGGCAGTTGATCTAGACACTAATTGTTTCGCGGATCATCGCAAGCAACAACTGTACTAAGCCACATGTTCAAGACTGCAAAATAAGTGTGAGATGAGTGTAAAGATTGAAGGTCTCACATAAGAACAGAAGAGAGAAAGAAGCGAGATGCAGGAGCGGAAAATAAGAAATCGAGAAAAAAGAAAAAGGAAGAAAAGTAAAGTGTGATGAAGGCATAAACAAAAAAAAACGAAAAAAAGAAAAACAAGAACAACGAAGGAGAATGAAAGCATATGAGTAGTAGTGCGTACTCTAAACGCTGTTACATTTTGCTCCGAAGAATACGTAGGCAGGCAAAACAACCAGACTTTTTGTTAAACACATGTGTATTTGAGATAGAAAAAATTTCTCGTTTAAATCTGCAAGAATAAACTTGAAAATATC